GAAGCATGAGGATCGAAAATGCGCAACTTGGAGAGTAGGAAATCAAATTGATATCCTTTCCCAAAGCCTTTGTAAAAACATTAGCAGGTTGCATGGAGGATTTCACAAAGACAGTCTGAATATTTCCATTTTGAATCTCATCGCGAATGAAATGACAATCCACTTCAATGTGCTTCGTTCTTTCATGATAAACGGGATTAGCAACAATGTGCAAAGCTGACTGGTTGTCACAATGCAAACGTATAGAGGATCAGAATGACTAACACCAACTGAAGCCAACAGTCCCTTCAGCCAGGCCGTAGTGGTCATAGAGCAGTATTCAGCTTCGGCAGATGAACGAGACATTGTGTGTTGCTTCTTCGTTTTCCAAGAAATAGGTGAATTTCTCAAGAGAACAAAATATCCGCTCAAGGAACGTCGAGTCAATGGACAACCAGCCCAATCTGAGTCACAATAAGCATACAATCTCAAATCACAATTGGCTCTAAGCAGAATACCTTGACCAGGAGTACGCTTCAGATAACGCACAACCCTCATTACTGCATCTAAATGCTCTTTCTTCGGATGCTGCATAAATTGAGCTAGAATATGCACGCAATATGACAATTCAGGTCGAGTAATTGTCAAGTAAATAAGTCGTCCAACCAGTCATCGAAACTGACATGGATCTTCAATGTCATCTCCTGTAGCTAGAACTAGCTTGTGATTTTGTTCAAGAGGAGTATTGGTTGGTTTAGCCGCAAGCAGACCAGCCTCAGATATAATATCCAAAATATACTTACGTTGACACAAGAAAATATCATCTGGATTGCGTGCCACTTCAATACCAAAAAAGTATTCCAATCTCCCCAGGTCCTTCATATGAAAACATCTATTCAAATAATCTTTGAATTTTTGTACTTCTGTCTCATCACTACCAGAAATAATGAGATCATTCACATAGATGAGAATATTTAATTGAACTGGACCATCTCGAAATGTGGATAAAGAGTAATTTGAACAAGATTGTTTGAGTCCATACCCCTTTTAACGAAGCAGCTAGTTTAGCAAACCAACATCGAGCTGCTTGTCGCAATCCATATAATAATTTTCGAAGACGACACACCTTCCCTGGTGTTGGAGAAACGAATCCAGGAGGCATTTTCATGTATACCTCTTCGTCTAAGTCTCCGTGGAGGAATGCATTTTGTACATCCATCTGATGAAGACCCCATCTTTTTGCAGTTGCAACTGCAAGGAAAGTACGAACCGTAGTCATCTTTGTCGTGGGAGAAAATGTTTCATGATAATCAATTCCTTCAACTTGATTATTTCCAAGTATCACTAAACGAGTTTTACACCGCTCTACACTTCCATCCGAGTTATATTTAATCTTGTAGACCCATTTGCTTCCTATCGCTTTCTTTCTAGGAGGCAAGTCTTCTACTATCCATGTACTATTCTCTTCTAGAGCTTGTATTTCCTTCCTCATAGCCTCTCTCCAACATTCATTTTTCATTGCCTCTGCATATGCACTTGGTTCATGTCATGCAGTTACACTAGCAAAGAAAGAGGGATGTTGCAAGGAGAATTTATTATAACTCACAAAATGTGTTATAGAGTAAGGAATACCTGAGGAATTTAATTGGGACAATGAACTCGTTGAGGGGCTTGCTTGGACAGTATGAGTTACATAATCCTGCAAACGAACTGAAGGTTGCTTTTTCCTTTGTCCTTTACCAAGTTGCACATCTGCATCGTCGCCCCTAACTATATCATCAGTGTTGTTTTCTCCATTCTCTGCATTATCAGCAATCACTTGCTGTTCTTCTCCTCTGACCTCTACCCTATGATTCCCATGTTCCTCATTAGCATCAAAACTCCAGTTTAAAGATTTATTTTCTGTCGACTCCATATCTTTAATGGTCTTCTTGTCATATGAAAATTTGGTTTCAACAAAAACCACATCCCTAGAAACAAAATATTCATCTCTCTCTCTCCAAATCATACAATCTCCATCCTTTCTTTTCGAATGGGTATCCCACAAACACACATTTTCTACTTCTACTTGTAAATTTATCTTTATTCTGATTTAAATGATGTGCATAACAGAGGCATCCAAAGGTCTTTATATGATTATAAGAGGGAGGATGTCCAAAAAGAACCTCATAAGGAGTTTTACCATCTAAAATCATAGAGGGGGTTCTGTTAATTAAGTAACCAATTGAAAGTACACACTCACCCCAAAACTCAATGGGTAATTTTGCTTGAAATCGTATGCTCTTGCCACATTAAGAATATGGCGATGCTTTCTTTCAACTCAACCATTCTATTGGGGTGTATTGACACAAGAAGGCTGATGAAAAACTCCATGTTCTTCAAAATAATTTTTCATACACAAATTCACTCCCATTGTCACTTCTAATAATTTTTATATTTTTCTCAAATTGCCTTTAAATCATCACTATAAATTTTCTAAGAACAGAAGCAGTCATACTTTTGTCATTCAGCAAATATATCCAAACAGCACGAGAGAAATCATCAACTATTATTAAAAATTAAATTGTACCACAAGAGGCTGGAACTCTATAAGGTCCCCACAAATCAGAATGTATCAAATCAAAACATTTCGCGGCTTTATTGTCACTAGAAAAGAACACTTCTCTGGTCTGTTTCGCTTTAAAACAAATATCACAAGCCTTACTAATATTCCTATCAAAACTACCAACACCAGAAATTAATTCTACCACCTTCGAAGAAGGATTCCCCAACCTCATATGCCATAGTTCAAAGGATGCAACAACTGTTGTCTTGCAAGCATGAGCCGGTGCCACTCCTTTGAGCCAGTAAAGCCCCTCAAGTTGTTCAGCCGCTGCAATCAGCCTCCTCAAATTTAGGTCCTGTAAAATACAAATTTTGTGAGTAAAATGAGCCACCAACTTCGAATCATGTAGAAGTTTTGATACAGAAATTAAGTTGCAATTCAAATTAAGTACAAAAAGGACGTGTTGCAACTTTAAATTCCCTCCAAGAGTCACAATTCCTTCTTTGACCGCCAACGTGTTTTCACCATTGGGCAAACTGACAGACCACGGTTCTATATCACGAACTTTTTCTAGGCTAGCATATGTTCCAGTCATATGGTGAGAAGCGCCACTGTCAATAATCCAAGAGAGAATTTTTTTCTTACCCGACATCCTCTCATTACCGTCACTTTTGTGTGTGCTCAACATTCCTATCAACTTGTTCCATTGCTCATCACTAAGGCCATTAAAATCTTTTCTATCAACATCAGTCATGGATCCATGTTCTCCTTCACTTCTAGGTGCTTGGACAACATTGGCATGTGCATTTGCTCCCTTGTCACGACTTTCACCAGTCCCACGCTTGCGACTTGCACCACGTCCAGGTGGATTGGGGCGAGGTTTGTTGGTCCACCACTCTGGATATCCTATCAGTTGGAAACAAGACTCAGCATCATGCCCTTCTCGCTTGCAGTACGAACAAATTACGTTTTTATCCCTTCCATTCCCCCTGAACTTCGAGCACCAATTTGCATTGCAAAGCTCATGAGAATCCCTTTTTCTTCCTTAGATCGAGTCATCGACATCACACGTTCTTGCTGAACAATCCTCGAGTAGACTCGGTTCAGATTCGGCAACAGTTCTATACTTAGTATATTGGAACGCATTGTTCCATACCCTTCATCATCTAGACCCATCAAAAATTGATGAACCTTTTCTTCTTCCCGTTTTGTTTCCATTTCTGAAGTGAGATTGCATTTACATCTACCGCATCTATAAATTGGAATCAGATCATAGTTGGTCAGTTCATCCCAAATCATCTTGAGTCGACCATAATATGCAACTATGTTCTGCCCACCTTGCGTGCAATTTGCAAGTTCTGATTTCAATTGTTGCACTCTTGCACCATTGCCAACAGAGAGTCGATGTTTAATATCCTCCCACAAGTCTTTCACACTCTCCATATGAGATATGGTCGAACGAATCTTGGGTTCGATAGTGTTGAAAATCCAGGAAACCAACATTGAATTGACAGTCCTCTAATCTTCAATATCGGCGAAATCTTCTTCTGGTTGTTTAACAGTTCCATCAATGAACCCATATTACTTAGTATATTGGAACGCATTGTTCCATACCCTTCATCATCTAGACCCATCAAAAATTGATGAATCTTTTCTTCTTCCTATTTTGTTTCCAGTTCTGCAGTGAGATTGCATTTACATCCATCACATCTATAAATTGGAATCAGATCATAGTTGGTCAGTTCATCCCGAATCATCTTGAGTCGACCATAATATGCAACTATGTTCTGCCCACCTTGCGTGCAATTTGCAAGTTCTGATTTCAATTGTTGCACCATTGCCAACAGAGAGTCGATGTTTAATATCCTCCCAGAAGTCTTTCACACTCTCCATATGAGATATGGTCGAACGAAGCTTGGGTTCGATAGTGTTGAAAATCCAGGAAACCAACATTGAATTGACAGTCCACCAATCTTCAATAGCGGTGAAAGCTTCTTCTGGTTGTTTAATAGTTCCATCAATGAACCCATATTTCTTCTTGGCCCTAAGAGCAGTCCGAACGGCTCGCGCTCATTCATCGTAGTTTTCCTCTCTAAATTGAACTTGGGTAATAATATTACCCGGGTTATCATTCGAATTCAGTATATAGGGTCTCGTAATTTTCTTGTTAGAACTAGTGGCTTCTTCTTCTTTAGGAGCCATGGCTCTGGTACCATGAAAAAAAAACTACAAGAAATATTGAGATTTCAAATCTCCTCTTTCATTAATAAGGAAGGATATATATAAAAGAAGATACAGAGCAATCCTAAATTAGATATAATTCTTTACATGGAAAACTACGGTTATAGTACTCTTTTACAAGGAATATCTTTCTATACCAAATATACCAAGATATAAGAAAGGAAAATAAAATATTGCACAGTTTTTTCCCAATAGAAACTGAATTGAGAAAAGTTAGTTGGGGTTGGACATGAATTTCACTTATTATTTCACTTGAAATGCCCCTCACACTATTTTTTCGACTTTGAATTCTAAGTTCAAGTTGAAATAGTTATGGAATCAATTACATAAAAAAAAATTGATTTAAAAATCTATGTTTTTCATTAATACAAACTCCTAAATGTTTAGAGTAAGAACAAATTAAGCAGCCATAAGGCTTATGTTGACTATAAGAATAGTACTTCCTCTTTCTCATTTTATGTGGTCTTGTTTTGATTGGGCACGAAATTTAAGAGACAAAGAAAAATTTTGTTTTTTTATTAAATTTATGGTCTAAAACAAATCATAAATATTTATATGACTATAAATTATTTCATCAAGGATAAAATGAGTATTTTAAAATTAAATTGTTTTTATATATATAAAGTGTCATTCTTTCGAGATAAACCAAAAGGGAAAGTGTGCCCCATAATTTCACACAGATGGAATAATCAATTTGATAATAAGGAAGGGGCAAAAAACAAGTACATACCATGATTTACTTTGCAATTTAAACTGTACACTTTATGTCAAATTTAAACTTACCATACTTGGCCACGGTTCATAAACATATACTGTCAACATAACAGCCTCGTTTGTTCCGATATTTTTTGGCTTTTATAGTAAATGGTTGTTATACACCTATAATTGCATTTGACATTTAAATATTTTTTGGCTGCTATACATAAGAAAATTATTCAAATTTAAATTCTCACAAGATATGCATAGTTCACTGGTTAAATATTGAAGAAAGCTAATACATTACTAATAAATTCATAACTAAAATTATAAAGATTTAAACTCTAAGGCAGACATTTTAAAGCTACCTAAAAAATAAATTTTTCAAGATTGATGGAAGAACTTTGTAATTGTAGCTTGTTTCGTAGATTTGACTCTCTTACTAGCCATATAACGCTTGAATTGGCGAATATTCGTGTCCAAATTTTCAGCAAAAAGGTATCCAATAGTTTTTCCTTGAAGACAATCTAAGAGCTTAATAGTTAAATTTTCTATCTAATTATTTTTTGAAACTTGTCCAATGAAAAAGATATCATATGCAAATCTTCAAATCTTATATCTTATGCAAGGTATAAACTTTATTTAATGGAAAAGATTGTGTGCATGTTTTAGAATTATTATTAGTAATTTTACAGATTCTATATGGTTATTATAGAAGGGTAGTTTTACAAAGAGTGTTCATCTATAAATATGGTTGTTGTTGTTATAGGTAAAAGATTGTTATATAGAGGTAAAATATAACTTAAAAATCGGTTCTGAAGAAAACTTGGCTTTTATAGCGAATTGTTGTTATATAGGGATATTGTTATAGAAAGGTCTGACAGTTTTATTATACTGTCAAACCTCTCTATAACAACATCTATAACAATCATTCACTATAAAAGGTAAATTTTTTCTCGATCCGATTTTTTATGTTATGTTTACCTCTTTATAATAACTTTTTACATGTAAAGCAACATCCATCTTTATAGTGGTACGCTCTTTGTAAAATTACTCATTTATAACAGTCATGTAGAATCTCTAAGAATACCAATAATAAGTTTAAAGATAATGACCTCAACCTACTACTACTTGAACTAAGATAAAAAAAAAAATCAACTGTTAAGCTATTAGATTGCTTTCAAGGGAAAGCTATCAGATACTTTTTTGCTGAAAATTTGGACACAAACCTTCGCCAATTCAAACGTTATATTGCTAGTAAGAGACTGGAATCTACGGAACATGCTACAATTATAGAGTTCTTCCATCAACTTTGAAAGAATTTAATCTTCTTGTAGCTTTAAAATGTGTGCCTCAGAGTTTAAATCTTTGTACATTTAATTATAAATTTATTAATAATGTATTAAATTTTTTTAATATTTAATTAGTTAAATATGCATATCTTTTGAATAATTTTCTATCTTTTATATATACATTAAAAAATAATTGATTCTTGAATAATTTTTGTTTATAACAGTCAAAAAAATTTAAACGACAAATACTATTATAGGTGTATAACAGTCATTCACTATAAAAGCCGAAAAATATTAAAATAAACGATACTGGTATAGAAAAGTTTGACTGTATTTTCATTACAACCCACATGCAACGCATGCTTAAAGACCTAGAGCATCAAAAGATGGGTGACACAAGTCGAAAATAAAACAAGAAAAGACAAAAAGAAAGATAAGGGGCGAGGGGGTGGGGGCGAATCGAAAACAAATCAGCCACGTGATGCTCGATTTACTATGAACACTTTCATCACAGATACACACTGTTGAAATTGTAATAATGGGCCACAAAGCATAAAACTACAAGATAGCAATGGATCAAATGACTGCACAGGTTGTTCAAGTAACTAATCAATCTGGTTGGCAGCAATCTTAGGAACCACATAGCTTAGCATAAGAACCACTCTGAATCTGATTACCAATTTCCACAGGTCATTTACATAATATGGAGCAACTTAGAAAAACAAACGAAGAGAAACACATTACTGTTGTCTATATTCTGACCGCTTAGTATCATATTCAATCAATAAGATACATTATATTAGGCAACGACTAAGCAAGTTACAGACTTGTTGTCACTTAGGATGTAATAGATCACTTGCAAGGGATTTCTCAGCTATACCATTTACCTCTATGACGCTACATCCAGGCTGCTTCTTTATCCTCATCTCCTCAATCAATTTCCTAACACACTTAGCTTCTATATCTCGATCAGCTTCCTTGTATATATTGTATGCAAGTACACAAGTACCATGGTCAGCTACCTTCATGTTAGACAGCTTTCTCCATATCCTGTCACCTACTTCAACATTACCATACACCCTACAAGCACCAAGTAAAGCTCCCCACACATTAGCATCCCCTTTCTCTATCCCTCCCATGTTCTCCTCTATGAACTTCTCAGCATCCTCGAGCTTACCAGCTCTTGCTAACAGGTCTACCACACATGCGCGATGTTCAAACCTGGGTTCAACTCCATAAACACTGCCCATTCTTGAAAACAGTGAAAGACCTACGTCAACCATTTCTGCATGAGTGCAAGCAGAGAGCAGAGAAACAAAAGTGGTTTCATTTGGCCGATTCCCACTTGCTATCATCCTATTGAACAATTGAACTGATTTCACTGCATCTCCATTCATTGCAAAGCCTGATATGATGGCATTCCATGCTCCAATATCCTTATAAGTTATCACTTCAAAAACCGATGAAGCCGACTTCATTCTACCACATTTAGAGTACATGTCAACTAATGCAGTAGCCAATATTGGGTTTGACTCGTAATTATAATGCTTAGCAAATGAATGTACCCAAAAACCTTGTGCTAGTGCACCTAGATGAGCACAAGCCGTGAGAACACTCACAAGAACAGACTCGTTCGGCATAAGACCGTCTTCTTCCATCCTCCGATACAGGCAAAGCACCTCCTTAAAATCACTAGCCCGTGAATATGCTGCCATCATTGCACTCCAAGAAATCACATTTCTCTCCGGCATTTCTTCAAACAATAATCTAGCTTTCCCCACCTCCCCTATTTTCCCATATCCATCAATCATGGTGGTCCACATAACCACATCTCTGTTGGGAATTTCATCAAACAACATATGTGCTCTGTCCATCTCGTGATTTAGGGAATAAAATTCAATCAACGATGCAACAATAAACCGGTCATGTTGTAATCCCAATTTCAGTAAATGGGCATGCACTGAAAAACCACGTTGACCAAACTCGTTTAAAATCATCGAACAAGCCTTTATCAATGGCGGAAAAGTATAATTATTTACAATAAGCTTATCTCTAAGCATATCTTTGTAGCATAGAACTGCTGGTATCGGCAAATCTGATTGCATGTATCCTCTGATCATGGTATTGTACAAAAAAGTACTTTGGTAGTCAAGATTTTGAAACACAATACGCGAATAATTGAAGAAAGAAGGATTCCCAGAATTGACGACAAATAAAAGAAGTGGGGCAATGGCTGATGGAGTTTCAGGGAGGTAGAGTTTGAGGAGTTGGCAGTGGAGTTCTTTTAGGTGGTTGAGAGTTCTGCACTTTTGTGTGAAGTGCGTTAAGGCAGAGTGAGTTTCGTTAACTGCTTTTCGAATCATTTAGAATGGTGAAAATGGCAGATCATTTTTTTCCATTCCTCATCTCAGGAAACAAGTCCTAAGATTTCTCCAATGCATGATCCTTCCTTTCAAACCAACATAGAAATCATTTTCAAAGCTACCTTTGAAATGTTGATTTGTCTGAGGTTTCTGGGGCTAATGGTTCAAAGCCCTTAATGGCTTTAGCAGATTCTCTAGTACATGTTACAATTGCGTACATTCTACTGCACAACCACCAGAGCAGAGAATGTAGATTAAACCACTTTCCGATCCTAAACTATTTTAACCACTTTAGCTGATAATGATTGATCATACTAATATATACTAACTGCAAGCGTCGTGCAAATTCTTGTAATGTAAGTCGACTGGTTTGTCCACACATCTTTGCAAATGTAGCTGATCAGGAGAACATACTCGGCCTGGCAGTCGAAAGCAATTAAGGCGACAATATCAGAGAATGATTAATCACAATTCTAAACACAAATAGACAATTGCCTGGAAATCCACACTTTAGAAGTAATGTTTTCCAAGAGTAGATGGGGTATCCAGTAAAGTGAGTATTACAATTCACAAGTTACAGTCTCTAGAAAAACCAGTCCAATTTGCCCCCCGGTTTTGGTTCAGTGGTAAACGCACAGTAGAGGGACGGACCCATTATCCAATGAGTTTTAACCCAGCTGGCCCTCGAGGATTTCACAGTAATCAAAAGAAAAAAAATAGCTAGTCCAATTTCCTACAAAGGGTAATTTAAGTGATAACTTGCTCATCATGGAACCAACAAAAAACTAATAACAAAAAAATATGGTTTCTTGTTCCAACACCCGTTTAGACATTTTAACAAACACCTAGCATTCAATTAAACTAACAGGCTTTACAGCAACGGCAAACTTGTAACTGGTGATTCTCTTAGTTATCCCTTCAAACACAGATATGGAAAAGATTTACTTCCTGCATCCTACAAACTCACAAATTACACGTATTAATTCCACCTCATTTCCAACACAAAAACATAAACACGCAGAAACTCAGCAAGTATGTTGTAAAGAACAAGAAACAGAGAGTTTATAACACACCTATTGATTGTCTTCTCTTCAGTTTCTTATAGCATATCAAAGACTGCAAAAGAAACCAACTGTTACGACGAAAGGCATTGAACTTTTTCTCTATATCAACATGGAGAAGTGCACAAATAGCCGATTTTAAGACATCTATTTAAAGAATAGCCACTTTTCACAAAGTTTAGCCGCTTCAAAATTACTTTGATGGTCTGAAGTTAGAAAATCGAGTGTCTCAAGTTTTCAAATTCAGACCAACGGGTCTGGTTTGGTTCTATTGAAGCCTCAATTATGAAATTTGAAAAAAGTTAAGCTTTGGTAGAGCTCCACTTCATATCCGAAAGTTTGAATTTTAACTTTGATTTTTAAAACTTAAAGACTTTGGGGTATGAAGTTAGGCTTTGTCATAGTGCAATTTCAGGATCCGAGATATCTGAATATTAATAATAATAATAAGAAGAAGAAGAAACAACAACAAAAAGGTTTAGTATGAAATTTGTCAACTGGCTAAATTTTGGATGATTATTAAAATTAAATATATTTTAAATAGGAGTATTACAAGCAACTAGCTAGTGTCATTTCTACGTAATATCGCTAGTCTAAATTTAAAATCTACCCCATCAAGACTAATTCTTTTAAGATTAGAAATTCAAAAATAATCAGATTTATAAGTGGTAATTAAAAAATAGTCACAGTTTCAAAAGTAATCAAAATTTAGTCATTTTTCATGTAAAGATAAATTTAAACGAAAACATTGTTCAAAATCCGGAAAATATTCCAGCATGATATACTGGAGTTCGAATTTTTTACTTGTAAACTTCCAGCATAATATACTGGACCATCATAATATGCTGGAAGTTCATACACAGGTGCTCCAATCTCCAGTATATTATGCTGGAACTTTCTGTGCGCTGGAGTTCCAACATAAAGTTCATACACAGGTGCTCCAATCTCCAGTATATTATGCTGGAACTTTCTGTGCGCTGGAGTTCCAACATAAAGTTCATACACAGGTGCATTAATCCCCAGTATATTATGCTGGAACTTTTCGTATTGTAGCAAAATAGTGGCTATTTTTCAATAACTTTACAAACGCTGGCTATTTTTTAATTACCAGTCCAAAAACTGGCTAGTCCGTGTTATTTTTACTCTAAGATCTAATACGTATTTTGAATGGTTGTTGTTTTTGAAAAATATGAGTATTTTCAAAGAGTAATATATATA